AGAGAGTTTAGATTGTTCTTTTGAAAATGTGTATACTATACTCAATTCTTTTTTAAAAAATATATTTTACTGATTATGCTATTACAGTTGTTACAGAAACAAATTTGTTTCTATAAAATTTCTAAAAGGTAAATTTATCATGGTTCTTATCTTCTATAGACATACTAAGAATTATTTGGTCACCTTTCTTTGTTTTAAATAGCAAGTAAAGTGGTCACCTTTTCTTTTTACTGGAAAGCCAAATTGATGAGAGGAAAAATCAGATTTCTATTGCCTATAAAGCCCCTGTGGAAATAAAACAGTTACTAGCGGTACATCAATTGACTAGATAGCCTTTCCCAGGTAACAGTTCCACAAAAAGAGTTGTAGATCACACAAAAACTGAGGCAAAGCTCAATTTTTATGTCCTCATTCCCATATACATATTTCTTTCAAAAACATAACTTATACTCTCATGTTAGTCAAATATTATTTTTAAGAAATGAAACCTAGTAAAGGTTTTACTTAACATGAACCTGTTTTTATCTTCTTTTTCAGTTTAAATAGCTTGTCTCCATTACACTTTAAGCCATGCAAAGAATACATATATTTGTGACAATGGGTATCATACAGGCTTTTTACAAGCAAATCCTAGTCTCAGTTCAAAGTGAAGTTATTTCTTTCTGAGCAATTAGTAACATTTTTATAAGTATTAATGCACCATGTGTGCAAAACATCAGTTAAAAATTTAGCAATATGAACAACTTTAGCAGTGAAAGGAGGCCAATAAATGCTAGTTATTAAACTTGTGGGTTGCAAGAGGAAAGTATGAGTGCTAGGTATACCAATAAAATATTTATTAAACTTTGACTCACATTGAAAAGTAATAGGAAAACTATATTCTGTTATTCTCACTTGCTTTTTCATATTCAGAAACTGGCCACAACGCTACAGGACCGCTCAGTGTTTCATACTGTAAATTTGACAGTCAGCTGAAGAGAAGTTCCATCAACATTCACAATGCAATTCCCAGGAGCTGATCCATCTTCCGAAGGCAGCTTCACCACTTTAATCTGATAATTCATCAGGCCCACAGTAGACTATCCCACAACAGGCAGTCATAATTCTTCAGATCTTCTCAATTAACATATTTCAACAAGCAAGTAATATTAAAACCCTGTTATTCTTCCTCCAATCACACTTATAAAATATTAAAAATAGGTCTTCTTCAGTGTTTGAATTATAAAAGAAATCCCCAAATGACATTAATAAAAAGATATGAAAGACAGATAGTAAGAAAATTTTCTTAGGAATTCTAATCCAAATGTAACATCATTCTCTCTGAAGACCAAAGCTTTTATCTAAAATATAATGTTCAGGCAAATGAAACACACACCACCAGTATTTTAACATCTGTTTTCCCTTTCCTGTTCTCTTCCTTTTCTAAAATAAGGCCTCTTTTTCTGAGGTTGAAGTTCAAAAAAATAAACACATTCTTCCTGATAGTATTAAAAAAAAAAAAAAACTGAAAGAGAATTTTTCTGACCAAAATCATTCTCTTCCCTTGGTTCACTTTCACCTTTCATTTTCTTGATTCCTCATATGTCTATACTCTCATTCTTTCAACTGAAGAAATTCTAAAGAGTTTAAACAGACAAAAAAGATTACTCAATATCCAACCTTGTCCTGAGGGCCTTCCCAGTGTTTTCTGATTACATAGGGATCTGTGCCTTTCCTTGTCTCTATTTTGCAATTCTGTTACTGAAACAAATGTTAACTCGGTAATGGCTAATGTTGAGCAGGAACCCCTGGCCAAAAAAGTACATTGTCAGGTATAGATGCAATTAATTACCACACAGTAGAAGTAGCCAGTTTTGCATCTTTTTAGCATTTTTCATTGCCTATTCATGTTGGTTCTCTGGAATTCCCTCTGAATTGGCTTTAATAGTTTACTGGTTTTCCAATCCTAACTTTCTTAGTTTTGTCTAATGCTTGTATAAAATTTATACAATATACTTACTCCTGTGACCACGTACAAAATAGTTTCTTCTTTATGAAAAGAACAATCAAAGGGACCCTTCTGCTCTACATTTCTTTTGTGGCAAACCTTGGAAAGAAACTAATGGGCTTTTCAGGGTATTGAAGCAGGCCATTAAAAGTTTTACAACCAACTGCAAAGCCTATTCATGCCTGAAACTATGCTCAGGTAAATATCCAGCAGTCACCATAATTTTCTGGACTTTCTTGATCCTTAGACTCTTAATTTGTATAGCACTGAAATCCTTAAAACTGCTCCAAAATGACCCATATGGCCGAAGAACTTCAAGATGTGACCTGGAAGAGCCCAAGCTCACTAAAAACTGCCAAGCCTCAGGACTTTTTCAACACATGATAACTTCCCAAGACAAACACTTGTTGCTTCCCTCACAGTCAGGTATAAATTCCAGCAGGTGAAAAAGAAGCTTAATATTTGAATTACGAATGGCGTTCAAACATAAGCTTGAGAGTTAAGTTTAAAGATTAGTGGAGACTTCTTCCATTCCTAGAAAAAACTAAAATAAAGCTATGGTTATAGTGTTAAAAAAACAAATTTGTCACCTTCAGTAAGGTTTATAGAGAAACAAACTATTACTTCATAAGCAGAATCACTAAGACCAGATAATAAAACAAGATTAAGATGTCAGAAAAATTGATAAAGTAAGATATAAAGGTAAAGGTATTAATTATAAAAGTTACACAAACATTGTTCTAGAGATTAAGAAAATTCTAGATTTCATTACAAGGCATCTTGAAAGACATCACCTGCCACAATTCTACTTAAGTAAATAAGTATGAATTAAGTATAAATTATAGGCAAGAGTTTTAAACAAAATAAAAGACTACACTGGGCCTAATTACTCTAAAATTTTTCCCAGAATACAAGGCCCATTGAAAATCCTATTTTTATTTCAAGTGCCATTAAACATTTAAATTTATCAACTCCAGAAAATGCATTAATTCTCATGTCATGAAAAGTATTAATTATTCAAATAATAAGTGCTGTGGAATTATAAATTAATGCAGCTACTATTAAAAACAGTATATGAACCCCTATGTTTAATGCAAGTTATTTACAATAGCCAAGATATAAAAGTAACCTAAGTGTCCATTGAAAGGTGAGTAAATAAGGAGATATGGTGTGTATACATAACTACACAATGGAACTTATCCAGCCAAAAAAAATAAATAAAACTTATTATTGACAACATGCATGAAACTACAGGGTATTACACTAAGTGAAATAAGTCAGACAGACAAAAACAAATACCGTATGATCTCACTTATATTTGGAATCTAAAAAACAAAATAAAGAAAACAAGGGACACAGAAACAAAGAACAAATTAATGGTTGCCAGAGGGGAGAAGAGTGAGTGAGATATGGGTGGAAAATGTGAATGGATTAGAGGTACAAATTTCCAGTTATAAAATGAATAAATCATAGGAATGTAATACACCACATAGGGAATATAAAGAGTAGCATAACAACTGTACGGTAACAGAAGGATACTAGACTTGTCATAGTGATCATTTATAAGGTCACTATGTTGTACACCTGAAACTAATACAATATTTTATGTCAACTATATTTTGATTTTTTAAAATATCCCAAATAGCCTCAGCATCTTGAAATAGAAGAACAAAGTTGGAGGGGTCACAATACCTGATATCAAACAATACTACAAGGCCATCTGACTACAATATGGCACATGTCAGGGCACATACTTGGGTTGCAGGCCAGGTCCCCAGTGTGGGCCACGCAAGAGGCAACCACAAACTGATGTTTCTCTCCTTCTCTTTCTCCCTCCCCCTCTCTCTAAAAATAAAGAAAAGAAAATATTTATCTGTATAAAAGTGGGCAAAAGACCTAAATAGACACTACTCCAAGGAGGACATACAAATGGCCAATGGACATATGAAAAAATGCTCAATGTCACTTGTCATCCGAGAGATGCAAATTAAAGCCACTATGAGATATCATTTCACACCTGCCAGAAGGGCTACCATAAATAAATCAACAAACAAAGGCTGGAGAGGAGATACAGAAGAGGAAACCTCCATGCACTGCTGGTGGAAATGCAGACTGGTGCAGCCACTGTGGAAAACAGTATGGAATTTCCTAAAAAAATTAAAATGTATCAGCCTTTTGACCCAGAGTTCTCACTTCTGGGAATATATATGATGAATACCAAAAGACCAATTTGAAGGAATACATGCATCCCTATTTCACAGAAGCATTATTTATAATAGCCAAGATCTGAAACAGCCCAAATGCTCATCAGTAGATGAACAGATAGAAAAGCTGTAGAATACTTACACGATGGAGTACCACATGGTTGTAAAAAGGAAGAAAATCTTACCCTTTTCAACAGGCAGCATGAATGGATCTAGAGAGTATTATTTTAAGTGAAATAAGCCAGTCAGAGAAAGACAAATATCATATGATCTCATTGATATGTAGAATCTAATGAACAAAATAAAGTGACAAAGCAGAAACAGAGTTATGGACACATAACAGTCTGACAGCTGTCAGAAGGCAGAGGAAAGACAGAACTGGATGAAAAATGATGATGGGATTAGCCAAAGGACACATGCATAGTCACAGACAACAATGTGGTGATACCCAGAGGGAAGGGTGAGTGGGAACTGAGTGGAGGCGAGCAAAGGTGGGGAACTACCAACATCTGCAATAATTGCCAACAAATGAAAAAAAATTTTAACTTGAAAAAACTTTCAAGATATTTTCTTTCTTCACAAAATGTACATTCAAAAACCTGACGAGGTAAACTGTTTTTGCCAAAAGTTTTAATGGGACCATTCATTGATAGTAAAGCTGACCAGGCTGCAGAAATAACACTTGTCATCCAACAATAAAGGTATATGAAATTGTGCTTCCCTGGATGTTTCCAGAGTTTAACTGTCTAAATATATAAAACCTTTTATCAACTGAAAATAAAGAAAACTGAAAGAAAGATGGTACTCACTTTTCAATCTCAATGCCAAGTGGATTAGCAGGACGTAAGGACAAGGGAGGAATTCCTTTATTCTTGTCAGTACGCATATCATAATAATTCATCTCATCAACCCACACAGCAGACTGGTCCAAAATACCTACCAAAATGAGGAACACATCCTTAGTAAGATATAGACAACTCCAGCTACTAAGTTTTGCAAACTGCTTTATTTTTTTCAGGATCTTAATGCTTGCTAAGGTAATTTTAAGAGATATGAGAATACAAAGGCTCTAAATTTTTTTAATGTCTGGTGGTTTAATTAAAAACACTAAAAATCTGTTTTGAAAAAAAGAAAAATAACACCAAGGGCCCATGGTTTCACTGCGCATTACTCAATAGAGAAGACAAATTAAGCCTCTGATAAAAAGATCTACTAAAACAAATGTATTTTACAAAAAAAAAAAACAACAGTACAAATAATTTGGTATATTCACCAAAATATCCAATAATTTATTATAAAAAGAAATCAGTCAAACACCCTCCAAGGAATGCATAGCTTATGTACTGGAATTGATTCAGAAAAAAATGAATAGGTAGTACCTATGAATAAAATATGACCTATGAAAATAGTATCATACCTTCTTTTGGGCTGTCATGCATCTTGGCATCTAACTTACCAGTTTACCAAACTTTAGACCTGGGCTGCAAAAGAAAATGGGCAAGTGCTAATGGGCAGAGAGGTGAAGCTGGAGGCTGGGCAGGCTTCATGAAGAAAGGATATTTAATCCCAGACAACTTCCAGTTGTATGAACCTTGGTGAACTCACCAATTTTATCAGCAACCACATTCCTGCCCATACATAACAGGAGACTGTCAGAAGTTATGCTCAAGTCCAGCTACTCCTGAGTTCAGTTAGATAAGCCATTACTGAGCCAACACTGTGCTAGGCACTGAGATGAGGGGAGCAGGGAATTAGAATAAAATTAATATTATACTTTCAAATTAGTTTTCTTTATCTTCTGTATAAACATGTTATGAAATGATGCTGGATTCTGTTAAGTACCTCCAAGAAACAAAGTTTACTTAATTTCAGTTTAGTTTTTAAAAATGTTAATTAAAATTAGTAAATAAAAACAGTGATAATGTATATATGTACAACAGGTCTGTCTAGAAAGTATCCAGCCACATACTATGAAAAATAGAGACATTTATTCAATAAAATACAAGACACAAGAAAGATTTTACATAGGTCAATAATGCCCAACTCCCCTTCAAAGTAGGCACCTTGGGACCTCACACAGTTCTCCCAATGTCTCTTCCACTGTTCAAAACATTCTGTAAAATCCTCTGTTGGAATCACCATCAGCTGCCCCGTTGTACTTTCCTGAATCTCAATGATGGTCTGAAATCTCTTCCCTTTCAAAGGTTATTTTCGTTTTGGAAAAAGCCAGAAGTTGCAGGGCACCAAATCTGGTTCACTGGTAGCAGTATGAATCAAGTCATTAGCAACTGCAGCACTATGTTCCTTTTGCTCTTGCAGCGGTTGCCACAAAATGAATTTTGTCATGACATGTTTCATGCCAAGATCCTGTGTCAAAATCTCAGGCACAGAAGTTTTATAATCCCCAGATCACCTTTCAGTTCTTGCACTGTCAGTTACAGATCTTTGTTGATTGCAGCCCATATACATTCAACATTCTCAGGTGTTCTGCTCGCTCCAGGCCTTCCAAAACGTGGATCACTATCAACAGATTCTCAACCATATTTGAAGTGTTTGTGCTTATTTGCGCTGTACTCATTGCATTGTCCCTAAGAGCCTTCTAAGGCATCTGAATAGTTTCTGTGGAGGAATGTTCAAGCTTAACCCAAAATTTGGTGCAGATTTGTTGCTCTACTCACTCAGTCATTTTAAATTCAATACCCACACATTACATATGCTCACTCAACAGTGTCTACAGTCCCCACCGACCAGTACAGTGAAGTCATCATTGTTCACATATATGCATTCCAGTCCACTCTCCGTGGCTGCCAGGTTACATTGATGTCATGCAAACCATTTTTTTTATAGTAACTGTGGCTGGACTTTTTCTAGACAAGCCTTGTATATATGTACACACATACATGTACATATACATAAATACCATTTTCAAATTTGCCTTAAATTCCTCAAATTTTTATTGACAAAAAAACTAGGAATTTAGGAAAGATAATGCTGCAGAAAAGTTCTATAAGATAGAAAATAAAAACATTTGTGAAATTACTTACATTTCTACACCAGAGAGGAGTATGGCCTGGATTTAATCACACCTCTAATATTCCTACATTATACAACCATTAATCAAGTACTGACTATGTGCAAGACATTATAAGACCAAAAGGATGAATTTGACATTATTCTCAGATTAGGAGGGGAGATGGTCATGCATAGAAATAGGTATGAGAAAAAAATTATTGTTCAGCAGCAATGGCAGCCATGAGAGGACCTCCAGATCTCTTCCCTTGAAGTTGTAAGTTAGACAGCTTTAATTCCAAAAAGGATTCTCTGCTCAACAAAGAAAAATGTCTGATACACTGCACATGAGACATCTGAAGGAGGATACATCTTAGCTAACGGCAGAGACAGAAGAGGGAAGGGGATAGAAGCAGAAGCCATGGGCACTTCCATGCCTGTGGGGACCATAACAGCGAAGGGGTGAAGTACAATGACCACTGGACAAACCATAAGAGCAGAAACAGTGATCAGGCCTCAGTAGCTGACACACATTGAATCTGGGTCCAGGGTGAGGGTCAGAGAAACAGTGCAAAGAGTCAAACAGCTCCGCAGTCAACCACCAGACAAGGGATTCCTCAAATGTGACAAGCCACCCACACCTGTGTTCTGGCAGGCAGCAAAATCCTCACTTGGAAGATGCAAAAGGGCTGAGAAAACTTCCAGCCTAAGTGGTCTGTATTCATTATGGCTAAGTACATTGGGAAGAGCAGAAAGAACTACACTCTCACAAAACCACTGCCCCAGCCAAACCCTCCTGCACCCATCTCCACACAACCTAGTAGGGCTGAGTCAAATCAGACAGAAGTGCTTCGCTGGCAGATTCTGGCTACCTGAAGGTGGGGGCACTAAGAACATTTAAAAAACCCACAGCCCACCACTTTCAATCCATGGGAGTGGTGCCCCAAGACCCAAGTGGGGAAGGGTCACCCCCCCTCCTCAGGAAATAACAAGCATATTCCATGGCCCAGGTTACACTACTGCACAAAGATCCTAGAAGGCACAGGAGTGCAGGTAAGAAAAAACAAAAACTTGCACTTCTGTATCACCTAATGTAAAACGGAAGAAAGACATCTACTTATCAACCTGCTAAACAGTGAAATGTCAAAAACTGAAAAAAAAAATTTCATTCCCATAATGTTTAGCAGAAATAATCTAGGAAACAAACAATCAACCAAGGTAACAAAGGAACTTGGAAAGAAAATGAAAAGTTTCCAGAAAATAAACTTAAGATATGAAACACTATGATTTAAATAACAGAGAATTCAAGATTGTAGTTTTGAAAGAACTAGAGATACAAAAAAACTCAGAAATGCAATTCAGTGATCTCAGAAATAAAATCAATGAATAAAAGGGCTACTTCACAAAAGACACTGAAACTATGACAAAAACAGAAACAGAAATTCTGGGGCTGAAAAACACATAAAAAAATAACAAATTTCCTTGCAAGTTTAAGAAATACAGCTGACTAGAAAGAGGAGTAGGATTACTGATATAGAAAATAGTAATTTAGCAATCGAAGACTCAGGTGGAAGAATGGCAACCAAAAGAAAAAAGAATTCTACAAGAATTATCTGACTCATTAGAAAAAACAATTTAAGAGTAACGGGTATACAAGCAGGAGAAGAGCTGGAGAAGGTAACCAGAGCTTATTCAAACAAATAATCAATGAGAATTTCCAAAAATTATAGAAAGAATCAGATCCCCAAATTCAAGAAGCTAACAAGTACACCTAATTATCTCAATCCACAAAGACCTTCTCCAAGGCACATTATATTAAAATTGTCAAAAATTAACAACAGAGAAAGGGTTCCCATAAAAGTAAAGACAATGGTAACAAAAGAAACCCCATCAGATTAACAAATTTTGTGGCAGAAAAACTGAAGCTCGCAGATACAGTAACTAAATATTCAAAGGGAGAAATCACAAGCCCAAAAAATACATCTATCAATTATGCTTTAGATATAAAGAAAAAAGTGTTTTCCAGGCATACAGAAGCTAAGAGAATTTACTACCACAAGATCTACATGAAAGAAATTCTGAAAGGTAATATACCTGCAATGAAAAATGCATAACATTACAAAACTATGAGCAAGATGACTAACAGACAAAAGCAGGTAATTCCAACCCTTATTCAGAATAGAGTATTAAACACTCAAATGTAACATAAAGGTTAAAGGAGGTGGAATCATTAAAAGAAAAAGACACTAGCTACTGCAACATGGAAAGCAATACACAGGGGGACCCGAGACAGTGAAAGAGTAAGTGGAAGCTACACTAATCTCCTCCCAGGACCAATCGGGAATTACAACTAAATTGTAGAGAAATCATCTTGAATAACCAATTGAACACTAGCTGGAAAGAAGCCTTATAACCATGGACAGACAAAAGAAACCACATCACCACAACATGACTGGTAGGGAGTGTGGAGGAGGCGGGAGAGGGCTGATTGGCCTCCCATGGGTGGCAGCTGAATTCAGGAGGGATATTTCAGCAGCCAGGGGGTTCTCCCTCAGAAGTATGGGGTCTAAACCCCAAGCTGGGCTCCCCGGCATGTAGCACCAGAACCAGGAAAGGAACCCAGATAGCATCCTGCAGCAGGATTTCTGTCTGCCAGGAAGAGATGGCTGGAGACACAGAGAGCCTCTTAAAAGGCCAACTCATAAAATTCCATTTGTAGCCACTTACCCTAGACTTCAGCAGAGGCAAGGCAGAGTGGGCCACAGATACTTAAGAAGAGTCTAGGGCTGGTGACTCTGGGGAAAGAACTGAAGGAACAGCCTCCAGGAACCCTATATTGCAGAAGCCATCTTTCTCAAGCAGAACACTCTTCTCCAAGTGGCATCAGCCTAAGGGAAAGCAAGGGACCCACCCACAGGAATTACTCT